TTGGAAATTTTTGAACACTTGGAAAACCTCGGATCTTTTCTTGAGAAGATAGATCCAGGAGAATTTGTTGTAGTCATCAATAAAACTGACATAGTATGTGTGTCTACCAACAGAACTAGGAGCAGGGCCCAAACATCAGAAAAAATTAATTGCAATGGTTGAGTAGAGACACTTGTAGAAATAGGATATGGTAATTGATGACTTTTTGCTCTTTGGCAAGAATCACAAATAGTTTCAATATTTCGCTCACCAACAAATGGCAAACGTTCAACAAGAGGAAAAGAAGCATGGCCTAAACGATTGTGCCAACGTGTTGACGAGAGTTTGACAACACCATAGGCTTGTTTATTGAATCTCCTAAGCTCCGGAATCAACGGGTAAAGCCCTCGAATGCATCTACCTCGATACAGTACCTTCTTCGTGGCATGATCCTTTATCAAAAAGAAGAAGGTTGGAATTCAAGAAATACATGATTGTCAATGGTAATGCGATGAACGGATAGGAGATTTTTGTTGGCACTAGGAACATGCAAAATTTTGCGAAGATGAATTTTACGAGAAGGGGTATGTATAACCGAGTGACCAATGTGACGTATGCTCATACCTGCACCACTCACCTTCTCTAGCTCACCCGTGAGGTGATTGGTCGCGCCACTGTCAAGGTACCAGTTGGTGTCGACGCCATAGGATCCTTCAGCGGCAGCAGCAACCTTGTCATCATCTTCAGAGGAGGCATCGTGTTCGTCGAAACGATACCAGCAGTCTTTGGCGGTGTGGCCTGGCTTCCCGCAGATTTGGCAGCGAACGACATCAGGACGTGAACGACCCGAGCCGCCGCGGCGACCCCTGTTGTTGGTGGAGATGGGGCGACCGCCACGAGAGCTGTCGTTGTTGGTGTTGCCGCTATTGTGCTTGCCCTTGGCGCGAGGAGGACCGCGATGACGTGAGGAGTAGCCACCGCGCCCACGAGTTGCTGCGTTTGCCGACGACTTGAAGCCGCCGCCAACACTGTGGTACTGGGCGACGCGCTGGTCGAAGTTGCTCAACATGGAGTAGGGCTCATCGAGGGACACCGGCATGACGCGCGCATCCAGGGCCGAGATGAGCGGCTGGTAGTCCATGTCCAGCCCGTGAAGAAGATGTGAGATCAGCTCATCGTCCTGGATGGGCTTGCCGGCGGCGGCGAGCTCATCAGCAAGGCCACGCATGGCGGCGAAGTAGGCGACCACCGATTGGTTCCCTTTCTGCGCATTGATCAAGGCAGTGTGGATGTTGTTGACGCGACTCAAGGACTGCGACGAGAATATACCTGCGAGCGCTGTCCACAGAGCATGCGCGGTGGTGACCGCGGTGACCGCGACGAGCACCTCTTTTGTGAGGTTGTTGAGCAGGTAGCCCAGAACCTGCTGGTCCTCCCTCACCCAGATGGGATGGAGAGGGTTGAGCTCGGTTGACTCCTTCCCCTCCTTGTCCTTGGTGACGAGAAGGCGGGGCGGCTCCGTCAGGGTGCCGTCGACGTAGCCATAGAGGCCGGCTCCCCTCAACTGCGGCAAGATTTGGGTACGCCACAGGACGTAGTTCGTCCGGGGAGAGCTTCTCCGTGACCTGACCGCTTAGGTTGGATTGGGTGGCACTGGTGGAAGACATGGCTGGCACTAGAGGAGATCAAGAGCTAGGGTTTGGAAGAGGAGGCTCTGATTACCATGTGCGTTAGGCGGAAACGTCTTACCTCGACCTGAGGCGACGTGCTACGTGTTTATAGGCAGGGGCGCACATCCCTGAAGCGCATACATCATTGAGATCTTACAGGAGGTTTACATCTTGCAGAAGAAGAGATAGAATTGGTTACCGGAGATAGGAAGAGATTACATGTAACTTAAACTGATCATCTATCCTATATCCTGCGCCTTGGACACCTGGGAGTCTCCTTGTCATGCGTGACAGGTACGTGACACAATATGTTGTGTTTGACAAAACCATCTTAGTTCAGCACCATCAGGACATTAGTAATCATGAAGCAAAATAGTCCATGGCCCATGATCAAACATACAGCAGTCAGCACAACTGCATCAGCCATCCAAACACAAACTCGAGGCACAGTGTCAGCTAGGATCACCTGTAGGCTGTAGCCATCAGACAGGACAAGCATGTCATCATCAGGAGGCCCTTCCAAGAATCTGCGCACTGGACATCAAACATACTGGTACAGTTATATATCAAAAAAACAAGGAAGAGTACAAACATGAAAGGAGAACGCACTGGCTCCTATATTACTTAACAACATTTACATTTATTGAGCAAAGTCATTAACAAGCATTTTTTTTGTTGGTCCAAGGATCAGCTACCTGGTTCCTAGACATCTGAGCTGAGTAAGGGTATTGAAAAATCAGATAAGAAGGTTTGTCAATCCCAAGCAGTTTTTTTTTTTACTTTTGAGATGGGCAGAATATAGTACTGCAAGTTATGAAATGGTGTTTATCTTAGCAACTTGGGCATTGACTTACCCCTACAATAGACCCCTTTTATTACGGAATGTGGCTGGTATGTTACACATTTTTGTTGATTGTAGCTAAATGGTGAACATGCGGCATTCCTTCAACTTCATTTTCATGATCATAAGGGTGCAGGATTATATAAGTACCTCTGAGTCTCTGTTTAACAACATACAGGGTGCTATTTGCATCTCTGAATTCTAACCTCTTTTTCAGATGTGTTGCGGTAGTGATAAGAAAAGAGAGATGGCATAATTTCAATGCAAATTATAGTTTCTGAATTTTGTGTGATTTGCCTTGTCAATTTTCATGCCAAAGAGAAAATCTAAAGAGCCAAACTTAAGTCTTCAGAAATCTGCATGATTTTCAAACTCTTTTGATTTCTTTATCTACACATGTATTTAAAGGCACCGAAGTTTTTTAGAGACGACACATATATTAGTATGTTTACTCTGCAAAAGGTATCTGAGACTTTCATGGTGATATGCAATATGTCTTTTTACAATAGTTTCAAGTCAGTATACAGTTTCTTGTTGCATCAATAATCCTTTTTAACAGGAATAGTCAATATATATGGTCTCAACAGGAATAATCTGTATGGCCAATAAAGCATCAAATTCAGATCCTATAAATCTCTTTGGACCAGTCTAATCCAAACATGCATTGATGGATGGATATTTTAAACCTTCCCTTCAAAAGACCATGTTTCACAGGATATTTTGAAACCCAAGAAATTTTGAAAACATTTTAAGCTAGAAATGTACCAGTGGATGGATAAAGCAAACCGTTTGCTGAAATCAGGGAGACATGCATTGATATTTAAGATCAGACTGTGAACTTCCCATACGTTCACTTCTCACTGATATGATAGGACACATCTTACCTTTATGCTCCTGAATGTATCCAGCACGAGATATTTTTCAGTGAGAAGCGAACGTATGGGAAGTTCACAGTCTGATCTTCAGCATACATACTCTACCTAAACATTGTATTTTTCCAGGGACAGCACGAGATTCCGACAATTCATGGCAAGCACTTCCTTGACGTTCTGGTGTGTGGTCAGCCTCAGGAACGACCAACCTGCAGCAAGTTCATAGGAGTTGCAGATGTAACATTTTCTATGAACGTGGAAGGACACTTTGTTCGGAATTGTGTGGATAATGCGCCCATTATTATCTCTTAATACAATCACGGTGTGGAAGCCTGCAGCTTTCCCGAAATTGTAATAACTGAAGACAAGACATCAACACAACTTGTACTGTACCCCTAACTAGGTTTGTAGTTTTGAGATGATACAGGAAAACAGCAGGGTTCAGAGAACTTAAGGGTTGATGTACCATTAAGCCAAGGAGGGATGCTTTCAACAAGAACCTGTGCACCGAAGATCAAACAGTGCCAAACATAAGGAACTGAAGAACATTTTAATATGTTGTTCGTTCAGGTTCAGACTTCAGACGTAGCAAACCACACTACTGAATGCAAAATTCGACACGGCTAGGGGATAATTTAGAAGTGCCTAAATTAGAGCAATTTAGGATACAAACTAAAAGCGGCAAGAAATCTCACAAGTTAGGATTTGAGGATAGACTCGCATACATACAAGAAAACGCAGGCAATGAGAAAGCACTTGCATGAGACCAAAACAATTGCTGATGACCACTAGATAGTAGCACTAATATCAGATGAAGCATAACACATCCACCATGGCAAAAAAATACAAGGAGCTTTATAAAGCACTAGCACAAGCATGGAGCCCGAAGAAATTATAGAAGCTCTCACGCACACGCATGAGGCGTGGTGAGGAATTCCACGTGGTGATAGGGATATAGGTATATAGTTCTTTGACCCCTTCTTTGGCTTCTTTTTTAGCACCTTCTGTATCAAGCGCTTCCAAGGATAAAGTTGGTACTAGAAAACCACGAAAACATAGAAGTAGTGGAAAAAACAATAATACAAATAGAGCATGTTAGTTGAAATAATAATTACCTAACGCCTTTGTCTAGGACCAGTTCATCTTCATCAATCATGTGATATGTTTTTGTAACCAATTCATTCTTAAAGAATGGATTAGTATTTTGAAAGTAAAATTCAAACTTGAAAGCCTTTGGCTCACTAATTATGTACCATTTGATATCCCTTAAGTACTTTAGAGCTTCCTCATCCCTATCACTAATTATGTAAACCATAAACTAGATGCCAGCAGAATTATGTGCAAATGGATCTTAAGACATTTTAAAGCAAAAACACGTTCTACAGTTCAGAGAAGGACCTTCTGTTGCAAAAACGTGCAGTCTCCTCACGCCCTCAGCTAGGATTTCATGGTTGTTGAACCTTTTTGCTCTGCAGGGAAGCATCATGGAGAAGATCAAAGACAGTTAAGAGACGTGCTATAATCCTTTTTCGTTACAGGATATCATTCCAGCATTAAATCTACTGAAAAGATCTTTAACACAGAAGAACGTGTGTTCACCTTTCTGATCTGCAGCAGCTTCAGCTGCATCATCTATAGTTACACCTTCTGCTTCAGCCACACCATTGACACTGTCATTTGGAGGTACAAGAAATCCATCAGATGGATCATGGCATGCGACATCGAATTTGATACCGTTGTATTAACGACGGTATGTACAGTATGAGCAGTCAAAATAGAAACATCTGTCTTATATCCTAATTTACGAATTGTTAGCATCATGGTACAGGTGAGAGATTGAAACAGTCAAAACAGCAAAACAACATAAACAGACGGACACACAGAACCGAACGAGCCACGGCTGTTCGTTCAGGCTCGAAAATTACTACGAGGCAGCCAACAAAATTACTACGTAGAGATTACGAAATTTAATACAGCCAGAGGCGCCGTTTGCACAGTAGCACAAACCGGCAGAAAATTTCACGAGTTGGGATAATAGAATGCACGATTTGCGACTCACAATCACTGACAGGCTCACATGCAATCGAAAACAGGCATCAAAAGGCACAGATCTTAGAACAGATAGCCAACATTTTCATCTAAATTACTGATGACAGCAAGATGGTGACATCAGATCAGGCACACTACATCCACCATGGCACGAACAAACACTTTCAGCGCTGAACACATCTGGCTAAGACGACGACGCGCACAGAGCAGCTTAGGCCCTCTCGCCACGGATGCGGCGTGCGAGCTGGATGTCCTTGGGCATGATGGTGACGCGCTTGGCGTGGATGGCGCACAGGTTGGTGTCCTCGAAGAGCCCCACCAGGTAGGCCTCGGCGGCCTCCTGCAGCGCGGAGACGGCGGAGGACTGGAAGCGGAGGTCGGTCTTGAAGTCCTGGGCGATCTCCCTCACCAGGCGCTGGAAGGGGAGCTTGCGGATGAGCAGCTCGGTACTCTTCTGGTACTTGCGGATCTCGCGGAGCGCGACGGTGCCGGGGCGGAAGCGGTGGGGCTTCTTGACGCCGCCGGTGGCCGGGGCGGACTTGCGGGCGGCCTTGGTGGCCAGCTGCTTCCTCGGCGCCTTGCCGCCGGTGGACTTCCTCGCCGTCTGCTTGGTGCGGGCCATGTCGTCGGAGATGCGCCGGGGAGGTTGAGGAGGGAGGAGCGCTGGGAGGTTTGGGGAATTGGAGTGAGGAAGGAGGAGGGGAGTGGGCGGTGTTAAATAGGAGGCGAGCGCCGAGCGGGCGGGGGGTTGGAGCGGGGAGCCGCGCGTGGGTGTTGGTTTTTCGGGAGGGATGGTGGGGCGTGGACCGTTGGATGTGGGGTGCCTGGACGGCTGGATCTGGTTTCGAGGGAGTGATCCGTGGGAGGTGGGATCGCGCGCTCTGATTGGTTGGAGACGAGTCAGCCGGATCATGGAGAGGCAGATAAAACGAAAATGGACTCCGAGGCCTTTGCCGCCAACGTCCAAAACGAAAACCTCTTTTTTTTTTTAGATTCCAAACGAAAACCTCTGCCCAAACGAGAATTGACGAAACTAGTGATTCTTTTTTGAGAGGAAGAGTTTCGGTGATTGCTGTATAAACAGTTGTTTTACTATTAGTATATGATGAATTATTAGTCCCTGATAAATTGTTTATGTGCTAATTCATCATAAACACTGATATGTAAACTGATTTACATGTAAATGACCATTTTTAGAAACGAACTTCTTTTCAGTTTGACTGCTATAGCACACCCTCCAAACTACTGATGTTTCTGTAAGAGCAACTCCAACGAATCGATCCAAACGGATGCGGGTTTTGTCTGTTTGGGTTGCCCAAGCGGACGCCCGTGTGTTTTTTTTATTTGGGTCAGTGCTTGCATCAAACGGTGGTCCGACCCACGAGCTGTAAATGCGGGCTAAAAATAATTAAAAAATGCACATAATTAAACATTAAAAACACAGGTCAACAGCCAGCCAAAGTTCGCATTGACAAGAAAAACATTAAATAAACTTTTTAAAAAGTCTGTGTCGCGTCGCCCCGCCTTGCACATTGCCCTAGGCATCCTCATCGACCGAGCCGAGACCGGTGAGGTCAACTGGGAATGCTGCCTCCCACTCTCGGGCCACGCGTCATGCTACGTCGGCTGGGCTGCGGCTAGGCGCTCCTGCTCCTCCCGCTCGGGCCACTCCTCCTCCGCCTCGCGCTCCATCTGCATGACGCGCTCGTCCGCCAGCGGTGCAACCTCCATTGCTCGAGGTAGGCGGCCTCCTGTGCCAGCGTCGCGCAGACCCAGACGGGGGGCACGCGGACCAACTCACGCACTTGGCCGGTCCAGACACAGCGCTCGGTCGGCGGCGGCTCGGCCTGGGGCGTTGGGGGCGGGACTCAATGGTGAAGGCAGCACGATGCAGTCGCCAGCAGCAGAGAGGGCGAGGGCCTCTGCCTGCCGCGCTTGCTAATCCGCCTCTGCCTTGCATCACTCCTCCTCGATGGATGTCTGCATGGCCGCCGCCAGCGTGGCCTGCTAGGCAGCCTCCTCCTCAATCTCCTCCGGCTTTGACGACAAGGGGCGACGGAGCGTGCATGTGGTGCTCTTGGACGTCGAGGCAACGTTGCTCCTCGTGTTTGAGAGTAAACCACATCTCCCAGTTAGGAGAGTCTGCCGCATACGCAGATATAGCGCGCTGCTCCGGCGTGAGCAGCTCCTACGCACCTCCTCGATGTGTGCGCTGGGACCGCAACACTGCCGGCACCTGTCGCGTGGTAGCGTCACATCGGGCTAGGACAGTGGCTGCATGTACTGGTGGTGCCACCATACTTGATGCATCAGGATGTGCAGCCGCTGCCTGACAGCGGCAGGGGAAGGGCGCGAGAGGAGGAAGCGCGCGGCCGTCTGCTTGCCCCTTGTGCTCGCCGAAGAAGCCCATGGTAGTTGGCTAGGGTTGTCGCCGACCCGCATGGATTAAAAAAGGGCGTTCAGCCGTTGACGTGTGGGTCCACGGTAGGTGGCCGCGTTAACTACGACCGCGTGTGGTACTTGGTCGACTTGCACGTGGGGTTGCGGTGGGCACTGAGGGGATGCGCAACACGTCTGCTTCATGTCCGCGACAACACGTTTTGAATTTGGATCGGCGCGATGGGCCGGCGTTTTTGTCCGCGACGACCCAAACAGACGTTGGCGGACAAAATGGGTCCCGTTGGAGTTGCTCTAAGTCACTACTTGGAGTTATTTTCGATGTATTCATGGCAAGCATGTTTGGGAATCTGTCTATTCGGTTGGCTTGTCAGCAGCGGAAGCCATGAAAAAATCCCAACCAAACAGGGCCATATACTCAAATTCTTGATGTTCAATTGTTTTCTTCCATTTCAAGAAACATTCTTACTCACCAGGTGAATTAACGAGCCGTTTGGCTCATTAAGCTCGTGACCACTAAACTTGGTAAACTTAACGAGGCACAAAACCCTGCTTGATTATGTTCGTTTGAAGCTTGTAACCACTCGTGTGCGCTCGCTAGATTTCAAATCATCAACAATGTGCTCACAAAATCAAATGCTATGAGACTGGAACTACTAACCATATTGTGGCTTGTTTAAGACCTTCCTCAATTCCATGAATCCAGGAGTTCTAGCTTTTGTCCACCCTGTCTAAGTGTTATTACCCACTTGAGGTTATGCTAAACTGAAAATATATGCTTGGCAGAAAGAAAGCTGACAGGATATATTTTATGTTGCCGGACAGCTAGAGCATAGTATCACTGGATATAGGTGAATAATTGCAGAAGAATCATATAGCTCAATTCAGCTAGTGAAACATAACTATGCTCGCACGCAGCACCTATACAGGCACTGTCCATTGAGAATAAGTAGCAGAAATATTCAAGAACTGAGAGCTGCTGTCTGCCACTTTCGTTCTTCCAACCCGAACATTTCAGACATGGTATTGAGTTGATCCATGGCCACATCATGTTCAGTTCTACAGCAGAATGCCCAAGCTCTAAGCACACATACGAGCTACCAATTTGGTCCCTGTAAGTTCCAGGAAAGGAACGGTAAGCAAATAGTTATTTCATGGCAGTATTGTACGAGACCTCATGTGAATACTGAATAGAACAACAAAATACAATCGCTAGCTCTATTTTTTTATTCTTTCTATTGCAGTGAAGCACTGAGCTGGAACATGAGAGACCCTGGATGCCCAATAATTATCAATGCATTAAATAACAAAATTCAAGCACAAAGCGGTGTTCAAGCTAACACAGTACTACAATAAAGATCAAGCTAAGAGGAGAGTTACCAGAAACATAAAACAACAAGAATGCCGTTTACAGAATGAGCGGTTCAGATGTAGACGAGAGCAACAAACTGTGTCTAGTTATCGGGCTAGCCAGAGATCTTAACTATAGGGAACCAAAAGTAAGAATAAAAAACTACAGGGAGCCAAAAAAGAGGTGAATATATTTCAGGAGTCTGATTTACCTTCTCTATGAACACCATTCTCTTGCATTCTGGAACATGCGCAACCAAGGACTGGGACCACCCTTCTCAACCTGCCACTCCTTGGGATACCATGGGTATTGCCACATCATAAAGGAACGCTCCGGGTGTGGCATCAGAGCAAGGTGCCTTCCATTGGGGGAGCAAAGGGCCGCAATACCAAGCGGAGAGCCATTAGGGTTGAAAGGATAAACCTCTGTAACGTTATTAGCATCATCGCAGTACCTCAGAGGGGCCAGATTTGAATTGACAACATCAGATAAGACATTTTCATCTGGGAAGAAGGCTCTCCCTTCACCATGAGCACTCCAAATGCCCAAAGTAGAGCCTTCCATACCTCTGAACATTATAGAAGGAGAATCCCCTATGGCCACACTGATAAACCGACATTCAAAACGGCCAGATTCATTGTGAGTGAACCTTGGCTGGGACATGTCTCCACCTGCACCAAGCGAGCCTCCAATTTCGGGTCCTGGTACCCAACCAAGAAGAGCCATGAGCTGACACCCATTGCACACCCCAAGGCTGAATGTGTCTGGCCTATTGTAGAACTCCTGGAACTGCTGAATGAGGGGCTGGTTGAACCTGATAGATGCAGCCCAACCTTTTGCTGAGTCAAGAACATCTGCATAGCTAAATCCACCAACAAATGCAAGCCCACGGAATTCCGTTAGAGAAGTCTTTTGGTTCAAGAGATCCGACATTGTGATGTCCCACGGTTCAAAACCAGCAGCATGGAACGCAGCAGACATTTCCCTATCACTGTTGCTCCCTTCTTCCCGAATGATGGCAACCTTCGGTTTCGAGGATGCAGACAGTAGTTTCTTGTCTGTGAATTTGGGCGTAAAAGACAAATGCCATGAGGGCGATGTTCGGCTTTTTAGGCCTTCTTTCTCAAGCTTGACACAAGATTTCAGCCGCTGTAGCTCCTCAAGCTGAAAGCTTGTTTCCTCCCACAAATCTCTGAGGTCTGAAGTTCTTTCTTTCAAACAAACCTCACCATCAACAAGCAACTCTATTTCTGGTGCTGCTGTTACTTCTCCTATCACATTAGCAGAAACCCCTGCCGCATGAAATTTTTGCTTCACTACATCAAGGTCATCCAAATGCACTTCAATTACAAGACCAAGCTCCTCCGCAAAAAGTGTTTGAAGAAGGTCATTATCTTTTAAGTCTATGTTGAGGTTAACACCACAGTTGCCAGCAAATGCCATCTCAAGAATGGTGACAATAAGCCCACCATCGCTAATGTCATGACCAGCAGAAATCAGACGTTCGCTGAGCAATTCTTGAACAATCTCAAAGGCCTTTTTCAAGCAAGGGACATCTTCTATGTCTGGGCAGTCATTTCCAATTTGATCAAACGCTTGTGCGAGAGCAGAACAACCAAGTCGCCGCTTTCCTTTAGCCAGGTCAACATGCAACAGAACCCCGTCCTTCACAAGCTTTAGATCTGGAGTAACCGTTAAGGTTATATCAGGACATGTCACATAAGCACTGATAACAAGATTTCCTGGAGCTTTGACTAGCTCGCCATCACATTGAGCTGCCATAGAAAGACTATCCTTTCCTCCATCAATTGCAATACCAAGTTGAATCATGCAGTCAGCCATTGCGACAGCAGCATCATACATATCCGCTCCCT